ATAGGCTTTCCAAAAAGCTAAATTTTATCAAAATCTGACAAGTGAAAGTGGGTCAAAACAAAGATTTAGTTTGCTACAGGCAAAAGCAGTCATTCAGGCAGTGTGCCTGAGGACTCAGGCAGTTAGTATTAAAGCCCGGTTTTAGGCCTAAAGGGAGGGCTTTGGATATGTAAGAAAAGTCAGAAAATTTCAACAGCCTCAGACCAATACTTTTAGAGTTATGTAAAAAAAACCTAAGGGGGGGTCAATTTGACCCCCCCCCCCAGCAGGAATAGGGTTAAAACTACGTTATATCTATTCTCTTTAATCCTTTAAATATTTACCTTAAACTTTAACTGTGCGATACATAATACGATGGTCTTAATCATGTGATATTATTAACATTTTAGGAATTGAATTACATCAATTCCTGTTAACTTTGTAACCTAAAGCTATTAAATAAAGTTAAATGATTGAGACTCTGCTTTAATGATGGTATTAGAAGTAAAATTGGATTAAAAAAATTTTCTTAGCCGACCTAGTGCAACTGGGAACAACTATATCTTGTATCAGTTCTGTCCAATCAGTGTTGTATGCATTCAAATATAAAAAATGATCTAATTAAAAGGGAGTTGCCGTGATAAACTATAGCTTTAGTATGGGTTACTGCGCAAAATAAATTAAACTATTTCTTATACTAAACATCTTTGCAACCTGATTATGTGGCCAGACCTAAATATTTGACCATTGGCTGCTCTTTCATCTTGAAAAACGCATAGATTGTATATATCAAAGGATATTACATCTGATTGCAATAATAGGTTTGGTAAATTAGAGTTAGAGGCAAGTTCTTTCATCCAACTTGTTTAGATATTCATGAAAAAGGTAGACACTAGACAAATATGAAACGAGAATAGAGATCGTAACTTTTGTATGGACATTGATAATCTATAACGCTTGATCTCGATATCCAGTGTAGGCACTTTGAGGATCAATGCAATTAACGACACAAAAATTCTAGCTTTATGCTAAGTCAATTCAATTCGACACATTTCTTATAACAATAATAGATATAAAACAAAGCAAATAAATAACAACAATTTAATTAAGAAAAACTAAAAATGTTAAAATTTCTTTTGACGGATTGTATGCAAATAGTTTGCAAAAATTTCTTTACAAAACTTGTGCAATCCGTGTCCTAATGTCATAGGCTTTCCAAAAAGTTATAAATTATCAAAATCGGACAACTGAAAATGGGTAAAAACAAAGATTTAGTTTGTTACAGGAAAAATTAGTCATTCAGGCAGACAAATTGACCCCCCACCATTGCAGGAATAGAGTTTAAGCTCAAAAAAAAAAAAAAAACGAGTTTAACAAAATACTGTGGAAGACGAGACCCAGCGTATCCGGGAACGAGCTTAAGAATCCTACGGAGCATTCTAGATCTTTCTATGTGATTCTAGAACCTAGGGTAGTGATATATATATACGAGTTGATTCTTCTGTTATTAGTATCTTGTTAAATATATTCTGAAGAGAAACTCCTCACGTTATTTTGGATCCAAC